TTACATAACTTTTTTTTTTTTTTTTGGTGCCTTCAAGTCAGTGTGGACTCCTGGCAACTACCTGGTCAGTCCCTGCAGTTTTCTTGGCAAGGTTTTTCAGAAGCAGTTTGCCCTTGCCTCCTTCCTAGGGCTGAGAGAGAGAGACTGGCCCAAGATCAACCAGCTGGCTTCATGCCTTAGGCAGGACTAGAACTCACAGTCTCCTGGTTTCTAGCCTGGTGTCTTAACCACTACACCAAACTGTCTAACACTTAATATAGCAATTTATTATTAAAAAAGGACTTTTTTACCAAAATGCTTATATGCTGTTAATTAATATTCCTTATTTTTGTTAGTTGATGTTGAAAACTTTTGATTAAGAGCTTGTCCATTGCCAAAGTAGTGCAACCTGTTTTAAAACTCTGGACATTCTCTTAAAACCAACATGTAAAAATAATACTAGCTCTCTCTCATTGTCTTTCGACAACCAAATATTGCTGACTTTTAGCTTCCCTACCTCAAGCATTGTTTGAATCCGAAAGTGACTGGATAATCAAAATATAACTTCTTTATTCTAATACAAAGCAGGGTGGGATGCAGGGCTGTGGACTCAGAGTTGGAGTCGGAAGCAATACTTGGGTTACTGGAGTCGATAAAAATGTATCAACTCCTAATAAGTTTAAATTGTATATAATATAAATATGTTAAAATTTCCTATTTCATAGATAATAATTTGATTAACCTATATTTTTCAGGATATATTTAATTTCAAGTTCTCTCCAAATTTCAAAATGTATATTTTGATAAAAATATAACCTCATTGTTTTTATTTTTTATCCTTTGTTTAAACTATAAGGATACTGAATGTTTGTAATTTCTTTAATAATAAAATTTAAAAACCAGAATATCTTAGCTATAGCCTTTAGACCCAAACTTTAACAGGTTAGGGGTCTAAGAAGTTGCCCGCCAATTCACGTTGGCAGTGATGAAATGCCTTGTATGTTGCATGCTTGCAGTCTATACAGGAAATACATAATTAATGTATTTATAATTTATTTCCAATATTGATATATAATTAAAGGAGTTGGAGGTACCGTAAATGAAGGAGACAGAGTCAGACTCAAAGGTTTTAATGTGCTGACTCCACAGCCCTGGTGGGATGTATGCAAAATGAAGCTAATGAAAAAAGAACACCAAAATTTCTTCTGTTTTATGACAGACATCTTTTAATCTATCGCTGTTTGTTCATGTTCAAGTTCCAGTATCCAAAAAATATGCTGTGAAAAGACAAATATGGCTGCATATTCCAACAAACCACTTCAAAATCATCATCATCACCCCCCTTCCCCCCCTTTATAAGATGGCTGGATATGTGAAAAGATATTTGCAATATTCACATCAAATATGGCCTAACTGGGAATGGCAAAAGGACATAGTAGCAAGAAACTGCGTGCACACTAAACAAACTCATTACTTTATCACACTGCGTAGTTTTAACAGATCATTCTACAGTTGTGTGGGTAGGTAAAGGGAGAAAACCAACTTGAGCCACTTACAATCTGATAATATAATGGGGAAAACCACAAGCAGCAGTCTACTTATTTGGATAAATATATATATATAAAAAAACAATTGTAGAAGGTTAGACAAATTATACACAGAATAACCATGCAGCTTCCTTGCAGAATTTACTGGGTAGAGTCACGAGTGAGTAGCCTATAATTAGTAGGCCAGCACAGCCAATGCATCTACTGGCATTCTTGGCCTATGTTTTGTGGGGTCCTGTCATTCTTTTTAGTTACTGTGTCAACAGAAGAATCCAATACATTTAAGGCATGAATAGATTTTTTTAAAAATGGCTTATAAAATATAACTCAGAGAATTGCAAGCAATTAACTAGTCTTCTTCCTGTATCTTCCTTTTGATATTAATAGTAGCATTTAATACTTCACAAAGTAAGCAGATTGACTGTCTTTTTTTGGTCCTTAGCTTTGGTAAACCCCATAACTACTGTAGATTTGGTGCTAACCTTTAGCACGAAACAGTACAACAGTTCTTAACAAACTTAAGTGTGTAATTATCTTTCATCTTCAGAGGTCTACTCACCAGGATGAAGTGCAAGATTATGATTTGGGACAAAGCCAGAAATAAAACAGTGGCTGAAATGTATCTTATCAACTGTTTCATCCTATAAGCCATATAGTGGATGATCTCCATAACATATTCATATCTGAGTTATTATAATCAAGAGATTTTAGCTCACAACTGGCCACCACAGCTGCACATTGAATACAACCATTTATTTACAGGTAGGAAACAGAAGGATAAGAGATTTGGAAAAAATTATGGCAGAATTCTTTTCATATATATGACCTCCTATTGTTAAACTTCCTGGTGTCAGAAAATTGTGATGTTCTGTTGCAAATTAACTGAGTTATATACATGGGAATAACAGGATTATAAATGGACTGTAGCTGAGGATATGTGGAGAGAAAAGGGCCACTGGGAAATAATTGGATACCAAAATTTATTGAAATAGAAGTTCATCCCCAAGTAGGCTGTGATTGTTGCATGAATCTTCCAGGCCATAGTTGAGCAGACTTCTATTTTGAACAATCCACGATCTGTTGTTGTTGTTGTTGTTGTTGTTGTTACCAGAAGCTAGTTTCCACTGACTACATCTGCTGCAAAAGATACACATTCAAAATCATTTTTTTAAAATCATACAGCTGTAGAATACATTGAATACATTAAATTATTTAATTAATGCTATGCAAATGAACCGAGGAAATTGTTTCAACTACCCAGTATGAATGGAGTTCGTAGTCCTTCCATAAAAAAACAACACAAATTTTCTTCATTTCAGCTGTATAATTTAGGACAAATTGGGAGTGTATTGTCAAATGATTGGTTATCTGAAATATTTGAAGGTTCAGTAGACATCACCCACAGATCTACAGGCAGCTGTAGAAAACTTTAAATTCAGAGATAACTGACATCAGAGACAGAGGGGCTACATATTGCACCATATTCTGCTTATAAGTTTTCAAGATGCATCTCATAAGCTGTTGCTCGCCACATAATGGTAGCCTTGAGAAGAACCTTGATTGGATCCAAGGAACCACTTACCACATTCTTATATATTGTTAATAACCTATGACCAGAGTTCATGAACACTGTGGACTAGTTATATTTTTAAAAGGTTCTGGCTAATCACTCTACATACTTCTATGAAATAAACAGCCACAATATCGGATCTTTCTTTTTCCTCTGAAGATCTTCCAAGTAACTAGATCTTTATCTTCTCACTTTGTTTGGACTTGTTGTGATGTGTGTTCACAACTCAAATGATGCAGTCTTTTGGAACTGAAACTTACATAAATGTTACACAATGCTCTTAAAGCAGTCAGAAAATTATAGTGTTTTAAATTATCTGTTTGGCTTGTAGGACATTTATAACGACCCATACTGTTTTATCACTTCATTTAATAATTAACATTTTCTAATACCAGCCATATTTCATCATGCTTTGAATTGAAGTTGTCAAACAATTTTGTTTACCTTTTTCTTATTCAATTTCTCCTTTGTTTCAAATAGTAGTTACAAATGATACTGATCTGGGAAATATAAATAGGGCCAGTCTGAACGACTAGCTTATTTGTTTATTGAAGATTCTCCTAGCTGAGTTTTATGTTATACCTTTCAGAGTTACATATATGAACCTTTTGGAACTAAATATATTTGCATGATAGCAGATGGTTTATGCTATCTTATGCTATTTATAACATGTTATGCTTTTGTTGTAACAAGTGTCAGCCCCTTAAGGTAAGCCAGGTCAGGAAACTGACTCCTCAAGATATTTATTGATATAGGCTATAGTAACAGAATCTCGAAAGCCTGAGTTTTCCCTCCTCCTTTTATGACCAAGAGAGTTAAGGCAGAGTCAATGTAAGTTTCTTTCTAATGTTCTCTTCCTGTCTTTCATGTTTTTCTAACTGCCATCATAGTTTCTCCAAGGTCACATTTGTGGCTCTCTATAGCAATCAATCTTAAATATGTCACATCTCCATATTCTTGTTTCTGAAGGGAAAAAATAGCAAGTACTTTCATCACAGATAAATATATAATATAATAGCAGTAAAAACCAAAGTATGCTTAATTAGAAATTTGCAGCATGGGAGAGAGTTATGGGGGCCTTACTTCTTATTCCCTGGCCAATCCCTCATTCCAGCTCTGAAGAGGGAAAAGCAATTTATCCAATGATCCCTGGGAAGCTATTGTAAAGGTAATAAGGTCATATCTTAAATCAAGTTTACTAACCTCATGACTCAGAACAAGGCCAAAGTACCTGTAATATCAGAGCATTTTAACTTCCCAGGACACTCAGATACAGATTTCAAGGTTGCTGTTTTAGAATAATGGAACCACACCAACAGTATAGAGTCCAAAACTGCTGGACTCACATACATCAAAAAGTTTCAGACTATCTCAGAAGGCCTTAATACACACAATGATTTTTAGCATATTGCAATTTCTAACTGGCAAGATCTCATATTCCATCTGCTTCTCATAACCACTCTTTCTCCTGTGAGGTGGGCTAAACAAGAAAAACAGTGACTAGCCCAAAACAATTTTTATGCCACCTTCTATTCCTTTGTTAAGTCGTCACTGTCGATTAATAAGAATGAACTAATAATAATACAATTTGGAAAGAGCCATGTGACAGCAAATAAAAACCCTCCTCTTTGAGAAGCAGAAAGAATTGAGGGAAGCAGAACTGGAAAACCAGCCACTGCTCAACTCTTTTGAATACTCTTTGCAATGTAGATGTGGAATGAACCGGCTGAAAAAAAAGAGTTCCACCCACAAAGCAGCATCAGCACCCAAAGACTCACGAGGAGGAGGGTGGAGATCAGACAGGGAGAAGAAAGGGGGGGGGAGGAGAGCAAGACGGCGTGAACAAAACGCCGAGCCTTGGTGCCTCTTTCTTCTCGCCCTCCCCCCTGTCCCCACCGTGACGCAAACTACACGGGTAATCCGACACTGAACATTGGCAGGGCGCGCACGCAGACCCTGACTCACTCAGTTGTAGCCTTTTCCTTGACTTCCCTGCTCAGTCTTTAGGTCCTCCCCTTTAAAAACTCTGAGCCATCCTCCCCTCACCGCCCACCCCCATCTCCTTCACAGTGCCTTCGGTTTGTGTGACAGAGACTAATTATGCTCCTTTCCCCGAGTTTCCAGGGAAGAGAGATAAGCAAGAGGCGGAGGAATTGACAAAGGAAGGGGTGGTGCGCTCGCGCCCGGCCAGTCTGGCCCGCTCTCCATTTCTTTCCAGTCTGGATCTGGATTGCGGGCTGGTTTGCTAACCTTCCAGCCAGCCTCTTTCAAGCAGCCATGAACCGCGTGGGGAAGAAGAATGAGGAGACACTCATCGAGATGGGGCAGACCAACGACGGTGAGTAGGCCAAGAGGAGGGCGGGCGATTTCGTTGCTCCCTAATTTGCAAGAAGGTTGCCCAAGAAGAAACTCTCCTGTCCTTTCACCTCGCCGCGGCAGCTGTTCAGCCAGTGCTTGGGAATCTCCGGGCTTCCTCAGCCCCGCCGTTTCCACTTCTTCTCCCTGTCCCGGTGCTGAAGGCTTGGGGCCTTCTCGGTTCGGAGATAACGGTGCTAACCAAGCGGCAGGATCCGGGTTGGGTAGGGCGATGGCGTAGCCCAGTCCCGGCCAGGATTGTTAATGCTGCCGTTCGATGTTTGCTAAAAAAGTATTTGCTCTAAGGCGTGCTTTTTCCAGCCGACCGCCGTGGTGGGGAAGAAGATCGGTGAACTTCCGATTCTGGAGTCAATACGAACAAAAGCAAGGATTCCCAGGAGGCCATGGCGGGAGGGCGGCACCCTCCTAAAATGTTGGCATTTGCAAGGGGCGATTTCACTTCAAAAATGCCGCTTCAGATGATCGTTCCTGCATTGTTCTACAAGAATGCACACCCATACACGTGTAAATAGATCGTTGAAGGACAGATAGTACTGTATACCTGCTTTCTGTTTAGTAGAAATAATGGAAAGTGAAGTAGGTCTGAATTCTATGGGCATTCAGTGATTTTAGAGCGGTGAAAAACAGCTAGGGAAAAAAAAATAGATTGCACCAGAAAAAAATAGGTTTGGGTTTTGTCGTTGTTGATTTTGAGACAAAAAGATGTCCCTCATAAGTGGATTTAATTTGGGCCTAGGGTTTGTCCAGTCCCTTTTAAATGAAAAGCATTAAATCATGAGTCATGAGAGATATGCTATTGTGAGGAAGAAATAAAATGATGAAAAAAACCCTTAATGAAATTGGGAAAAAGGCTTTCTCCTATCTTTCCCAAGAATATTTCAAATGGCCATTTCACCTGTTGGCATCAGAAGTTATTTTAGACCTTCAACTTGACGGCCTTATGTTCCTCTTCCTCCCTAGATGCTAACCTTTTGTTTTTGTTGTGGCCTTTTTGCACATTTTCTCCTATTGGTCTTCTATGATGTCCTCACTGGAGAAAGATAATGCAGGAACAAGTCATCTATCTGCCTTAGGCTAGGACTACAGTATCAGCTGTATGGTACCTCTTTTCCTAGACAATGTTAATTGGGAATACTCGGATTATTAAACTTTTTGTTAGTGTCCAAGAAGCACATTGAGTGTTTCAATCTTAAATCCAAGAACTACAGTTGGACTGGTTAGTAATACTTTCTCAGATTTTGATTTAATCCACATACTGTAGCATCATCTTTTTGCACTGAGCAGTTAGATTGTAAAGAGGACACTTTCACAGGTAATGAAATGGATATTAAAGCAAATTGTATTTTCAGGTACTAAAGGTGTTATATGAGAAGATGATGGAGCAGGGGTAGATTACCTGTTGTCCAAGAGTTGTATTGAACTACAACAACTGCCCATGCCAATTGTAGTTATTAGAAATCCAAAGCATTTGGAAAGGACAGGTTACCTAACTCTGGTAGAGAGGAAAGCAGAATGGTAGCACTGTACATATAATAGAACACCTTAAAAATGGCCAGCTTGGATTAGTGACTTCAATAACCTCCTCCTAGGTGGCTGTACCATGTAAAAGCCTTAACCTGTTTTCACATATAGTAGCTCAACAGATGGTTGACTGTATCTGAGCTCTGAAGCTAACTATTTGGATTGGAAACAAACTATACCAGAGCTGTAGACTAAGTACGAAGTTGTAAAAACATTCTGGAACAGAGTTATATCAAACCACTTTCATACTGTTGCCAAGAAAACTGTATGGACATGTCCATGAAGTCAGTTTGATGTAGTGGTTAAACTAGGCTTTTAGTCCATCCTCAGTCCTAGAAGTCCACTGAGTGATTTTGGTCTACCACTTTCTGTTCAACCTACCTCACAGAGTCATTGTGGGGAAGAAGTTGGAGAAGGAAGTGCTACGTATGCTACCTTGAGCTCCAAAAGGAAAGACAGGATATAAATTGAACAAATAAAATATAAAATAATCTCCAGGTTTTGAGTTTGACTCAGAGGAGACTTTACCTCCAGCATCTTATTTTAATCACTTGGATTTCTTTATCTCTCAGTGATTCCTTGGTGCATACGTGGTCTTTCTGAGATAAAAATAGTTTAAAATTCAAACCCATGATGTGCACAATTCAGGCCTAATGTCATTGTCAAATTTCATGTTTTATATTTAAGATAAAACATGAAAATAAATTACAACTATGTGGTTGCAAAACAATGGGCTTTATGCAAAATAGGTGTGCATATTGCCCTAAGGTATGAAGGTATTGCTTTAAGGTATTAGGTTTATTTGCCTAGGTAATCAGATATGAGTAACTAAAGTATAACATCATTTTGGCTATGTAAGAAATTGATTGCCATCAAGTTGTGTCAACTCTTAGTGACCACATAGGTGGATTTTCTCCCTGATGATCTGTCCCTAATCTAGTCCTTCAGGTCTTCCAATGGTCCACACATTGCTGTTGTAATCAACTCCAACCATCTTGCATCTGGGCATCCTCCTCTTCTCTTCCTTTCCACCTTTCCCAGCATTATGGACTTCTCAAGAGGGATAGATCTTCGTATAATGTGACTGAAGTATGATAATTTCAGCCTGGTCAGTGTGAGAACTCTTGAGTTGATTTGTTTGATGATTCATTTGTTTGTTTTCTTGGCTGTCCATGATATTCTCAGGAGTCTTCTCCAACACCAAAGTTCAAAAGCATCAATATTCATTCTTTCCTGCTTCTTGAAAGTTCAGCTGTCACTTCAAAGTTCAGCAGTTCACTTCATACTGTTATCATACCAAAATGAAAATGTATCCATGTGTTTTGGATCAGTGTAACATGATCTCTAGATCCAGAGCCATGCTATTCTGTTGCATCAAACTAGTCATATTCCACTGAACTGAAGCATCCCCAAGCTGTTCTCAAACTATCTACTACATTATAATAATATAATACTGGCTATTGCAGTATTTTCTATTAATGTATTTTCCATGTATTTACTACAGGTAGTTCTCACTTAATGATGGTAATTGGGACCGTAATTTTCATTGCTAAGTGATGTGGTTGTAAAGCATGATCCCACATGGTCATGCCACTTAACAGCAGGAATTCTGGCATTCCAGTTGCTGTTAAGCACGACATCACATGGTCACCATTTACAACCTCCTGTTGGCTGCCCCACTGACTTAACTTGTAGGAAGCCAGCAAAGAAGGTTGCAAATGGTGATCATGGGGCTGCAGAATGCTACAACATCGTAATTGCAAGTTGGGCATAAGTACCACTCATTCAGCTCCTTTGTAATTTGAATGGTCGCTAAGAGAGTGGTTGTTAAGTGAGGATCACCTGTACATGGAAAATACTGCAATGATCATAGAAATTGCTGCTTTAGTTATTGTTTGCAATTCACTTCACACCAATAATTGCCTGGTCCAGGTATTTTATTGCGCATGCATTAGTATAAGGGTATAGTTGCTTTTTTATAATGGAAAAAAGTCACTGCCATTGGGAAAGGCTATATGGAAATTTGAAATTAATGCAACTAGTTAGTAAAGAAACAGCTAGGTGTCATCTATAATCAGATTCCAGAGAATCTTGGGAAATCCTGCACATATTACAGTATTACTGATGAGCAAGATGACAGCTAATAAGTGAAGTGAAGCTAATAATCTATGCAAGGTAGCTGTGTATTTGAACACTAGTTTAAAAGTTATGGCTTAAGCTCATGCTAGAAAAGATTGGACTCCTTTAAAAACAAGGGCATGTTGTTGGGAGGTTCCTTCTGATCCTGGTTTCCCTACTGGATATCCAAGTTAATTGCAACTCAGTATTGACAGTGTATCAGCATGCTGGCCTTCTACATATTTCAGAGTCACTTTGACTTTTTTAGCTGTATATCATTTATCACAGTTCATCCTGGATGAGCCCGCTTACTATTAGGATAATCTGTAGGGGTTTTCTTGTGAGTCCCAAAGTCATGTTTGCTTGGTCAAGGGAAAGAACCTTCTTTGCAGCTTTCTCTGGATATTGGAATTTTCTATTTAGGGAGGTTTGCCTAGCATTTCCTTGTTTGGTCTCCCACTTCAGTATTAAAACATTCCTGTTCAGGAAATCCTCTGTTTTTTAAAAGCCAACTTTGTTGCTTTCCTCCTGTAATTATTTGCAGTCTTCCTGGGATATACTTTCCCCACCTTTTCTGGCTTTTCATTTTATTATGTTTCATGTTATTTTTTATTGTAGGTTTTGTAAATGTATTGTTATATTGATTGCATGTATGGGTGTGGGTGTGGGTGTGTGTTTTCTTTCATCTTAGCTTTTTAAGTTGTCTAATATTTATATCATACTTGTCATATGATGAAAAGGATGATATAAATATTTTAAAGGTAAAGTTATACTAGGTGTTCTTCTGTTAGGCAACCAGCATATGCTATTTGCCTGTGCAGTGAACAAGATAATTTTGGTACTGAAATTTCTTTTTTCTGCCTATGAAGTTCACACTTTTACTCCGATCAGCCAAATTCAACAGCCTACAAAATGTGTGTGTATATTTATATTTAAGTTTGAAATATGGAATAGTGAAGAGGAAAAAAAGTCACTCTGTTCTTCAGAGGCCATGTATATAATGGGGAAAATTAAGTGATAAAGGCAACTTGTTGTTGCTGATAGACACCTACAGAAGCAGCTGAGTTGGTAGAAGAATGAATAGAGCATTTGTGGGTACACTTCTGCTTTTGGTGTATGCCAATCATCAGTTTTAAATGAGAAGGAAGGAAGGCTTTAAAAAGTTCCTCCTTTCTTGTTATGTATCCACAGTTGTTAGTTCCCTTATAAGTTGGATGAGATGATCCAGCATAAGCTGAAAGTAAAAATATGTTACTGTCATTGCACTGGAAAATGTATTTTCTGCACTGATTGTAGGATGATTTGAGAAGCATTTCACTTCTT